AGGAGACTGCCGGTGTGAGTTTTGATCCTGTTTACTGGCCGGAGCGTTGTTCGCGACAGGGAGCGGTTGACACGACAGCAGGGCGGATCGATCGTTGTCAACCAAAAAATTGGTCAGCCGATGCGGACGGCTAGCTGACAAATCTCCAAAACCGCTAAGACGATTTAGGTGATAAGGCGATGGAATAATTCCTACGCTTGGCGATCCACTGGATAGAGCTGGTAATTCCGTGTCGGATGAGTGGAACTTGGGCGATGTGTGATGAAATGCGTAGAGAAAACCTCACTCCAAGGCGGAATACAGGATGATTGAAAAGGATTTGCACAGTTTCCACAAAAATTGATAGATATCCTTCCAATTTTTTTCCGGTGACGGAAAGAGTACACAAAAAGGAATTGAAAGGTACGTGATAATCCAAAGTCCGTTAAGATTGCAAGTAGCAAATTTACAAATTGTACAAATTATCTGAGCTTCGGTTTTGTGTTCATTTCTCAGTGACCTTGACACTTTTTTAATTGGTCAAATATCATACTCATGCATGGGGTCTCGGTGTTGGCAGTGGTTGTTGTGTAACCTTTCAATCATTAGCCCGGATCAATCCACCGCCGCTCGTCAGACTGATCGGATTACGAGGATGGTTACATTCGATGGTTCTACGCCTTCTATTCTATTCATGCTGTGGTTGGCTTTGACGAATTTCGCTTCAGCAAAGCAGAAAGAAGAAATAGGTTGCAATATATCGACATTTCGATTGTTCCCCTTAGTCGCAAACACAATACATGCGGAACAGATACACAGAATTATATATGGAATAGTTGGCAACACCGACCAACATGTCCCAATGAAGGCCAAGGCAACCAAACTGATCGCTTCAGCAGTTTCTGTGTACACGACACGGGTTGACGTGCCCTCATCATCGTCATCATATACACGTTAGCCAGAGGTGGAAAACACCTCAGCTACTGTGCCGCCATCCATCACAATGAGGCTGGATCTTACCGTGGTGCGATGGTTTGCATGCATCAGAGGTCCACTGAGCTATGCTAGGTGGTGACTTTTGCACCTTCAGAGCCACTCATACCAGACAGAAAAACTCGGCCTTCTGGTCCTCCAGGTTTGGGGTTGGAATGAGGTTGGCTCCTTATTCTTTAAAACGGACTCCTTGTAGCCCACCACCAAACCCGCTACCTTGCGGTCAGGTTTTGAACCAAAGGCTTTGGTTGAGAATTTTAATCGTTCTTCTGTTTAAACCTAGGCAACCTTACAGTATCCTGCCCACGCAATACCGTAAAACCGGGTAACTTTGGTCCACTGTTTCGGTTTGGTATATACCACACATTTAGCAGTGCTTTTGAGAAAATTATCAAGTGAACTGTTCATGGGCTATATATAGTGTTCTAATGCTGTAGGAAATGTTAACTGGTGTAGTGCTATATCCTTAAGTCAGTTGTTTTAAAACATGTACTATGGCCAAAGTTACCACTTAACGGGTATGCTTTGGACATGAAGGCAACACATACACAGAACCAATGTTGTACAACGCATGGGTAAGTAACGCCACTGTTTATATGTAAAGAATTACAAAACGCATCTATAACATTATTCAAGAATTAGGCAAATATCTCAAAAATGTTTTTTCGAGTTCGACAGGCCTTCTTTGATGGTGGAATACACTCGCTATCACAATCAGGAAATATCCCTAGTCGGTTGTCACTGACATCACCGACGGCGGACAAGTAATCAGCTTCTCTTAGATAAACGTTAGCAGTTGAGTCACTTTCTGGTTCAGCACATGGCTCGGTTTCGGTAACAGGCTCCTCGGCTGGATCCAAGACACTTTTCCTAGCCTGGATGTTCAGAGCTTTCTTTTGCGTTGTGGCAAATTTTCTTCACCAGTGGCAATGGGCATTTCTTTCGGTTGTTGCTTGAATACCTCTGTAACGGAGGTGCTGCTTGCATCTGCATCTTCGTCATTTCCCTCTGGTATTCTTCTCAGAACAGACTGGGAATTTATTGTATACATGCCAGTATTCCCAAACCCCGACTGTAAGTTTTCTGCAATACCGGCACCTATGGTGTGTAGAAGCTGCTTGAGCGGCACCGGAAACCTATCCTTCTAGATGGTTGGGGCCTTTGTGTCACGGAAGTTTTTATATTTTCTCAGGATGGCTCTCCACTGGGTCTTCATATACCGAAAGAATGCTACATCTAGGGCCTGGTAGAGTGGGTTGAGTTAGGTGAGTGGCAACAGAAAGGTATATATTTTCATTGCAAACTGACAGTGCCAAAAGACAAAGATGAAGTGAGATTATCACCCAAAAAGACACAACGACCAGTTTTTCTGCCACAGAAGGGTAATGCCACTCGCTGAAATCAGTCCAAAAAGCAGGTGTTGTCAAGTTAGCCTGATCTTGACCTGGTGGACCATTCTCGGTCTAAATGTCCCAAATAATGATTTCTTACTATAATTATGGTCATGTATATTACGGTTACCACTAATCACATTTTATTTGAACTTGCAAACACTAAACATTGTGTTCTAGCAGTGTTTACTTAACGGGAATACTTTGGCCACCTAGCCAAAGTTACCCCAAAATAACAAAGCTTATTGGGGTAACATTGGTCACCAAGATAGTAGCAGAATGTATGATACAAGTGTTTGGATAACATCAGATGTGCTTACTAGTACTTATTGAAAAAACGAAAACACTGGTGCTTATACTTACACTCTCTCAGAAACTTGATTCACAGTTGAAAGTATACCCCATGTTAAACGCATGTCATAAAAGAGGGCATCTTCACAACGAGTTAATTGGATGTCTGCACAGTGGCATGCGAGCGAGAGTGCAGCTGAGTGGAGAGACCTCGGATGACTTTGCAGTTGTCACTGGTGTGAAGCAAGGCTGTGTCTTAGCTCCTGCACTGTTTAATATTTATCTTCATGCCATGGTGTCTTGTGCTTTTGATGCTGCTTGTGCTTACGGTGTTCGTGTGGAGCACCGTATTGATGGTGGGTTGCTGAACATCCGTCGTTTCGGTGCGAGAACTCTAGTCTGAGACAACTATCCGAATGTTGCTGTTTGCTGACGACTGTGCGTTGTTTGCACACGGCACGGATGAGTTGCAGCACATTCGGGCTCACCATCAACACAAGCAAAACTGTCTGTCTCTTTCAGCCTCCACCGGAGGCGCAATCTTCTATATATATATATATATATATATATATATATATATATATATATATATATATATATATATATATATATATATATATATATATATATATATCGGTTGACCACCTCTCTAAGTTGTATGTTGACCATTTGAGCTATGACAGTCAGTACTAATTCAAACTCCATATGTTGACCATTTGAGTGCTTGCCATTCAGTGGTTCCCGAATGGCTCGTTTGTTCCGGTAAGATGGTGTGCAGCGGGACCACAGTGTTTGGACTTCTGACCCCCAAACCAATGTGAATTTTACGTTTTAAGGTATAGCATATTCGCCGCATGTTCGGCATTCGAATGGACTGCTGTACCGGTGTTCTACGAAGACTTCGCCAGAAGTGACTAAAAAGGTCCATAGCTTTTCCGAGATTGTGTGGCTCGTTTGTAGAAGGCTGCCATTACGGCCGTAGGTAGGTGCTGGTCGATTCTGTGAACAAATTGTACTGCGGTGCTGCTATGTACTATCTTCTCCGCCTTATTCTATGGACAGTATATGGTGTGCCCCTTGTCCCTCATTGGTGCGGTTCGGTTGTCAGCTCGGTGCGAACAGTCGCAACTTGATTACTTGTCACGTTTATGCGGTGTTTTCCGGACTGTTATTTTAGAAGCGAATTCTTACCAATTGGGTTCTTGGGGGGGGGGGGGTAAGGGGAGGCTGAGGAGTCCGAATTCATCACACGTCAAGTGCGGCTTCGCTGTTTGGCTAACACTCACTTCTCACAGCCCAACTGCTCGGTTCCTTTGCTGTGCCGTGCGATCGTAGACACATAGATCTCACCCCTGATGATACGTTGGGCAAAGCAATTTGCGCCGCTGGACAGTTGGCATTTAAGCCTACCGGGGTACCTCCACACTTGAGCGCAGCCGCTGTTAGTTTAGGACGTAATTAATAAAACATCCTGTAGATCCCCATAGCGAAATACAAGCTATATATGCACCACATGGTCCTATCGCACAGTCGTTGAATCTGGCACCGTCAACACTTCCGATCTCATTTCACATTTGCATCGAAAATCCGACTGCGTGCGGTAGCACCCTAGCGGTGCAAAAACTGAGTGTATACTTTTAGACGACGAATTTTGTTCTTCAACAACTGAGCCACTTCTACTGTACTGCACATCAAATAACTTAAACACATAATTATGGCGTCATAGGCAATCCTACCGACTATCTAGTTAAGGGGTCGCTATAAGAGTCTCAACACTTGTGACATTAGTTACTTTCGCAGCAGCATCAAGACAAACAATGAGTTAAAATCGTAGGACTTGCCGGCATACCTATCCGCCTACATAGCTGATACTGTTCCTTTTTCACTGCTGCACTTAGGGGCGTAATCAGAGACGCAAATTATTTGTTCGTTGAGGCCGCTGTCCACGAAAGGAAGCGCCTAAAATGATGTAATACACTCGAACCTGTCTAAGACGACCATTCAAGGGACCGACAGAATGTGGTCGCCTTGGACACGTGGTCGCCATAGGCAGGTTCATGTATAGGGACATTACTCATGGTAGAAAACTTTGGGGATGTTTTTGGTTGGTCGGCATAGACAGGTGGTCGCCATAGCAGGTTGGACTGTATACTCTTATCAATGGAAGAATTTTCCGTCTTTGAGATAGTCGAAAATCGGCTACATCCGTCTTGTTCCGCCCCTCCCTGCTTAGCATTACCATTTGTGGGGATTCACGAGAGAGGATACATACTAACAACTGTGAATTCCATAACTTATTTCACATCAAATTACATTTCATTTTTTAACCTTCGCTCCGCCTTTCAGACTCCTTTGGTTATCATTAGTCGTGAATCTATGAAACCTCCCGGGGGCTTCAAGCCGAGCATCACCGGCATGGCATCCAATCCGGATTTTTCGGTCGGGGCACTTGGTGAATGTGGCCAGAATGCCGGACACTCGAGTGCTAGCAGTGGCCGTGAAAGATTGGTGACCACGGTATCAGACATTAATCTCCGTAATCGGCTGACAGATCAGCAAAGGAACTTGATGCCTATGTTTAATCGGGCGAGAGCAAGCAGCTCCTATGTTGACAACGCACGCTCGCCCGCGTGTATACCAGACGAGCCTCCTGGAGTAGTTCAGTCTGCCAACGATCACTTGAGTCATCCCCAGATATCGGGAGTCAAACCAATCTTGGACATGAATCCGGTCGATGGAACCGCCATGAAGCTTTCCGAAGCTGAGACACTTCCTTTCAAGGCAAATACTCAATCCGAGTCAATCGACACATCAAGCCCTCCAAAAAGTACCTGTCACAACAACCCTTCGGGCCTCACGTTGTCACATGTGATAGAACCTGTTTCTAAGTTTATCATCGGAGAGCATAATGAAATCCAAGAGTCCTCCAACGGGGGTCAGTGGCTCCTGGTATTGCACGATTACACCGCTATGGAACCAGGTGACCTCACTGTCAAGGTGGGTTTCCGTCCATTTATTTGCCACTTATACTGGCTCGACTCTGAGCTCATACGCTTGGGGGTTGTGTGCGTTGAACACTAATCCTTCCCAGCGTTCATTCATTGCTCATGTTGACTAATCTCCCCACGAGTATGCAGCCTCTCTATGACATCTGGTCTACCTAGCCAGTGTTCTTTTCATAATACACACCAACGTGACCGATGTTTGTAAGGAAAACCAAGATCCAACTGGTGAAATGATGTCGGTGCGCATTTCCACCGGCATGCAGACCACAGCAGATGTCACTCCTATCGAGTGGGATGGACCTCCTTGATCTCCCCTACTAGTGCAGGTTAATGCGCGTTGGTGCTCACTACTGAACGGACACGCCCACTAGCTGTGGGTATCAGCTGTTGCACCGACGCTCCGCTGCAGTTGTCGATTAACTCATCCGACACCAGCATACTTTTGAAGTCTGTACAGAGTTTTCTACTATCGTAAGGCCTGGCCGCATCCTATATGATGATCGGTGTGCAGTAGTTTGATGTTCCCTGGGCCTCAAGGTCGTTAGAGGCACAGAAAACGTACTAGAAGTTGTATACAATACTTCACCTTCAATAGTTTACAGTCGTCCTCTTTCGATGGAAGGTTATCATATCATTACCATGGAAGAAATCGCTTTGTCTCTAACTGATCCGAGAGATAAGTGGCCTATTCTGCCACTGTAAAAAGGTAGTACCCCCCATATCTTCACATCTTGACGGTCACTTACAAAAGCACAGTTTCCACACTTGTAGGCATGCAGCTTAAAAGCGCTGATCTGTCACAGTCAGGTCCCGAAATGTTGTGGGCGATGGAGAGCCCATAAGATCCAACTTTTCAGCTTTAGGCGGTCTTCTGCGAAATACACAGCCCCCACTCAGTGGATTCGTAGACAGTCATGGGAAGAGTAATTGACTCGGGGTGCTTATCTCACCGACCAGTCCACTATGTTGAGTTGACTAGGCTCCACGTACCCACTGCCGTTCTGTTCATTAATGCAATATGTCTTCAATGAAGTGCGAAGATTTTTGTCCTTCATATATGTGGCATCAACATCCGGAAGGAGTTCACTAACCTTGCACGATGGTAATCAAGCTTATTTCTCTAAACGAGCTTCTCCACCTGCCTGACTCTTTTCCTTGCACACTCATATTATCAATACAATGAACGTTTTCGCCTGATTTAGTTGTTTGCACCAACCTGCTTATTGATTTCACAAGTTTTGGGACCGAACATTCTCCGCTGTAGCTCTCTGTGGCCAAACAACGGTCATCTGACTAGAGTGGACCTGAAATACACATGTGCTCCGTGTACCTGCCAATCAGATGTCTCAGCGTGTATCGTTTGCCGACTGTGCCTAATTGGGTCAACCAATCAATGTCAAGGCCAAAGCGCATAGGTTCGATGGAAGGATGTGTTGGTTCGGCTTTTGTTGTCTCCCTAGACGTGGTCCTCAGGAATGGCCACATAGTGGCTGCATACTTTCTTGGGTATGACATGGTCACATTTATTTTTATCCTACTTACTACTATACTGGCAGCGAGCGTCAAGGTAATTGGATTTAGTGTGCTTCGATGTACCGATCATAATTGGCCAAGTACGTTGAAGGGAATATGTGAGCTGAGAATTCCCATCACTAATAGCTTAAACTCACGCAAGGGTATCAGCTTCACAAGTGGAAAAAAGTACTACGAGCGATCATAGTAGCTCTGCGTTCTTCAGTTATGACTGACGAAGTGAAGCTAGTGTCGTATGCGTGCTTCGAATGTCAAGAAGCGTGATCTTCCAAAAAAAATCCTAATTCACAGATTGTTACAGTCAGGGTGTAGAGCGGTCCAGTTAGCAGATGGAATTAGCACAATGTGATGAACCTGTCCCATAAGGAAAACAATTGCCTACCTGAATTACTGAACTTGTAAGTGCGACGAATGATGGATATACAATTTTGCAAAGGTGGTCCAAGTCGAGATTGGGTATTGCAGTGATTCCGCTCAGATGGCATTCCAAATGGACGGAAAGTGAAGCAACTGCTTGTTCAGGTGTAATATCTGTGATATTTGTATGTGAATATCCTCAACATTCGGCCGTTTATGATAACGTTTCGGAAACCCCTATCCTTTTAAAGCAAATTATGAAGCGCTGTTGCTCCTGGCTCTGATCCCATGACAGCCACGTGTTCCCCCTCTGTTTAGCTTCGGGATTTCAGGATACAGGTTTTACAATACGATGATTCCAACTTTCAGGACTCAAGCGCACCGTTAAAGCAGCCCGTCTTCACGCATTAAACGTACACAGCCTGTAACATCGACATGCTGCGGCGAACTTGATCTTGATGAATCAACACTTTGCCGATCAACCCTTTATCGCATTCCCTTTCATCCCGTTTCATACAACAGGCAGGTCACGTTATTCGTTGTCTAACCCCTCTGGCCCCTCCTGCTAATTTGTATGACATGGATATCCCCGATTGTTGGCTTCACTGCGTCACTTGGTTCAATGTAGAGGGCCAGGTGCCAAGTACCTTTGTGCGCCGAATATTGGACTCCGAAGAGTTGGAGAGATGGATGCAATGTCGCCCACGGGCGAAAGTCATGTATGAATTCAACGCGGAGACCGATGGCGATCTGGAACTGAAGGTTAGTTGTATGGTACCCACACTCAGTTTTACTAGGGCTCATGTGCATCGCCACAAGAACTACATGCGGTTACGTTTGTAATACTCCTGAATGATGCACATTTATTACGTAAACCTCAGAAAGAGAAGCAAAATGACGGCGCTTTAAGAAAACAATTGTTTACCATTATTCATCCTCAGGCTTATACATCAATATACGGTAAGATAAGATTTGTTGTAATCGTCCGTATAACTAGGAACCAATTGATTAGATAATGCAACTTGTGGCTCTGATGCCAATCATCTAATCACATAATTGAAGCCAGTGGTCTTGCAGAGTGCAGTTACATCCTTCCCGTCTGATGGTCATCCACGGCAGTTGTAATCTTCTGAAGGCACAGGCCGGATCTTGTCAGCCGTATGCACGTTACTTCCACGTTGGCAAGTAGACTTGCTCTTACACGATGGCCACACATTGGCGGTATTCTGCATAGAATCTGAAAGGCACTGTGTTTGTTGATCTGGTGACCGGGATTGATTCGATTGTTTGTAGATGCTCTGTTAGTTGTCCTCTTTTTGTGATTGGAGACTTAACTTGGGATGTGTTCCTTGATTCTCTTACCTAATCGAAAACGATTGTTTACCTGAACTGTCGTGCTTATGCTTCGCATTCTGAGTTTTACGTAATACATAGGCATCATTCAGGAGTTAAAACGCAGCAAATGCGCTCAGATACACAAAAGCTTAATCAATACATTTAGTTCTGTGTCAGATTTGCCAAAACAGAAGCATCTAGCGAATCCCACCGGCTTTGTATCGAAACGCGAGTTTCATTGAAATTTGCTTGAAACGACTCACTTAACCATATTGTATCAGATAGAACGAGACTGGAAGAGGCTAAAAAGCATATTCCTCAAAGAAAAGTCGCGCTGGACGCACTCTGTGATGAGGAACCTGTCCGTCTTCTCACTTATGTGCGATGTGTAACATTCGAAGCGGTAGAAAAGAAGCGGTGCATAGTGCAGGAAGCATTGAATGAAACGAAATGTCAGACTAAATTCCTAACAACTGCAGATTGATTCGTGCCTACTCTTTCTGGTGTTCAGTTAGACAGGCTACAGATACAAACACACTGCACTCGGTCTTAAGTTTAGCCATCAGAAAAGGGAAGATGATGGTCTAGAATGAGAAACTCAGTTTGGACACCCCATCAAACAGGCCAACGACTTAGTGGTCAGCTCTGATACAGAACTTGAGCACTTTAAATCAAGGTTGCTCAATGTTTTCTTTAAGTATCAAAGACAACCCATAGAATACCATCGATTGCTAACGAAAGCACATATTGATGCCGTGAGAGTGCTTCAACAAAAGTAGGACCTCATCATAACCAAACCGGACAAGAGATCAGAAACGGTGCTCATGGATAGTACTGAATGCATAAAGAAAATGGAAGTGATACTTTCGGATACAGAAAGACAAAAAGGATTACACAGAAAATCCTAACCAAGGAGAAGTATGAACAACTTCGGCCCACAAGCTCCACCATTCTCCGCCTGTATGACCTATCCAAAATATATAAACACGAAACATGAATGAGGCCGATACTGGATATGAGGAATTCGTCGTATTATAACATCGCACAATGGTTTATAAGAACGCTAAATCCCATCAGGCAAATAATTGCTCCTCATCGACTGACAGATACATTTCGGTTTGTCGATGAACTTCGAGACCTGATTAACCTAGAGTATCGAATGTTTTCTCTAGACGTCATCTCACTGTTTACCAACGTGCCTCTGATAGAAACAGTTAATTATGTATGCTCGTACATTGAATATCAAAATATAAGCATTGATATACCAACCAACCAATTGAAACAACTGGTACTCAATCGTAGGTAGAATGTTCAATTCCGATTCAACAAGGAGTTATATAGACAGATAGATAGCGCATCAATTGGATATCCACTTGGCCCGCTGTTAACGGACGTTTTTATAGGAATGCTAGAAGGCGGTCCACTAAAACAGGTTATTTCCGGTCTGAAATTCTACCGGCGTTATTCAGACGATATATTTTGTATGGGTAATCGTACCATCACCCCGCATCAGGTAGTCGATAGTTTCAACAAAGCGTACCCAAATGCCGCATTTACGGCTGAGGAAGAAACTAACAATCGGATGAATTCTTTAGACGCAAGCTTCATCAGAAGGAACGACGGCTCAGGCCGTATTGGACGGGACAATACACGAACTTTCACAGATTCGTCCTCCTCAGCCACAAAAAAGGCGGTGGTACGAACCCTAACCGATCGGGCATACAAAATCTGAAGCGAAGACACCATTGGAGCCGAACTCAAACGAATCAAAGCAACACTTCTAAAGAACGGCTATCTAGAGCGCCTTATCGAGGACCATATGAGAGGAAGCATAGCAAAAGTGCGGAAACAAACAGTGAAGAAGAAACAACTTTTCATGGCTCTTCCATTCACAGGAATTAGTGTAGTTGTGGCATGCACACATAGACTAATGCAAAGTCGCAAAAGGACCTTTAATATGGCCTGGCTAAAAGCGGTTTTCACGAGCAGACCTATACTAGTTCCTGGATTCACAGACCGAGGGCCATCATCCCTAATCAATGTGAATCCACCGGTTCCCCTGCCCATGTGGGGCGAGGTACGTTGGACGCACGACCAGGCATTTAGGTAACAAAATCAAAGGACACCTCCCAAGTTGGGTCTTCAATCACAAAAAGAGTACAACTAACAGAGCATCTACAAACAATCGAATCAATCCCGGTCACCAGATCAACAAACATAGTGCCTTTCAGATTCTATGCAGAATACCGCCAATGTGTGGCCATCGTGTAAGAGCAAGTCTACTTGCCAACGTGGAAGCAACGTGCATACGGCTAACAAGATCCGGCCTGTGCGTTCAGAAGATTACAACTGCCGTGGACGACCATCAGACGGGAAGGATGTAACTGCACTCCGCAAGACCACTGGCTTCAATTATGTGATTAGATGCTTGACATCAGAAACACAAGTTAAATTGTCTAATCAATTGACTCCTTGTTATACGGACGATTACAACAAATTTGTATCTTACCGTACATTGATGTATAAGCCTGAGGATGAATAATGGTAAACAATTTTTTTCTTAAAGCGCCGCCTTTTCACTTTCTGGGTTTGTCATACTGTTCCACACACGGGGTTGTGTCGTTTTGGGGAGGGAAAGGGGGAAAGTCGATGCGGACAAGTGGACAAATGCTTTATTTTGTTCTGTTAATCGTTTGGAATTAACTATCACGCTGGGAAGTAACACTTTCTCAATATATTTAGGAGAATTACCGATGCTCATACGTGTAGTTAGCTCAGGGATTTGGCCAGAAGTACACTCAATCCTGACTAACTCCAGCCGAACTGATCAAGGCTGCTCTATCGGAGACGTTTTTTGGACGTTCTATCGTAAGCAGCGAGTGGAGGTGAAATAGCCGATTTCTTGTTGAATAGCATTGCTTCCTCGTTTTGAAGTGAAGCACTGAGTATTGTGTTTTACAGCTTTTTTAGCTTCCGCGTGCTCAACATATGAGCTAAGTGAAGTAAATAAATAAATATTTTATTCTCAAATTCATCGAGGCATACCAACTCAGGTTTGAACATGTCTGTATCAAGAAATCGTCTGATGATGTGGATGCGATGGAGTAATCTTGATAAGTCAAAGGTTTTCCTCTTATTGATGATCATACGGCTTCTTGTTATGGGATATATGTTAGCATTAAGAGTAAGAGGGATGTGGGATGAGACATTGTTTACGTGGCTCTGAGAATGACAGAGCTTGAGCATGCTTTGTTGCTACTTGAGATGGAGTTGGAAAGAATGTCGACCCTACTGCGTGCAGACAATGAAATAAGACGGGCTAGATTGGGACTAGATTTGGAACAGCATCATTAGTTATGATGTTCCAGCCTGGGGCAATTAGGGAAGAAATCGGATGCTAGAGGCTGTTTTATGCCGGTTCGTGATATAAGTGGCCCGGTTAATGGATCGACACATCTTGGGTGACAATGCTCTTCAGATCCACCCTTTACTGGTTCGCTTTGCCTGGGTGGGAACAATGTGGGCGATATGGCTAGTGACCAATTCACATGCAACCAAGGTAACTACCTCCATTACGTTACTTCTCAACCAGAACCAGAAGATTTGGATCGCTTTTTGACCACTAGCGCGTCCGCCACAGCCTTATCACAACAAGAATTTGCGGAGACTGTTTGTATGTTATCTACGTGTGCTTTGGAAATTGGTTATGTCCATCAGGAGAAGAAATCTGAGGTGACACATACCATTGAGGCGTTTTCGGACACCACCCAGTGTCACAAGTCCGCATGGTGCAGTAATATGGAACGGACATCTTTCATCGGTTCATTACGGTACATCACTGCGGATGTCCTTCAACCATGCTGCGGTAACGCAGGGGACCACAAATCCGGTCATTCATTGCCCCATCTTCAAGCCATCCCGGATGCGGAGTATCGCGGGATTCGGTCCTTCAGGGACAAACGGTTTATTCGACAAGGCAGGCTCAGCGAAAATGACAGCATGATTACATTGTAGAAGCCCCAGTCGTGGAGTACAGCGATGGGAGCGAGCCACACCAAAACCCTCCATTTCGGCGACGGTCCCAGTAACCGTATTGGCAGATGCTGACTCCAAAGTGAACCGAGACCACGATTGAGACTGCGTGTCGCAATCCAGGACACACGGCGGGTGATGTAAAACCCGAAAATCAAGTTCACCGCTACTTTTTGCCATGGTCGATCTGGAATCTTACGCAGCATCAATGAACCTCTGGCTTGGCGATCCATGTGGGACCGACACGCTGAACAGCCTGATACTTGATCTCGAATTTGACTTGTCATCCAGGGCCGGAACAACATATCGCGTGCTCTCTTAATGCTGTAGTTAACACTTAAATGGACCGGATGAGCGTATTTTAGCATTTCCTTGCGAAGTGGTGGGCAACAAAC